TTTGGTCGGCCTACTGAGGGAGCTATTCGGAAGCTTGTGACTAAATTTCGAACCCAGTTTACATTATTGGACATTAAACCACCAACACGCAGACGTAGAGTGAGGACTGAGGAAAATATTGCGGCTGTATCCGCCAGTGTTAGTAGTGACCGTGAAATGTCGATTCGCCGCCGTTCGCAGCAATTGGGCCTCTGTTACTCCACTACATGAAAAATTTTGCGACAGGATTTGGGTGTAAAACCATATAAGATACAGCTGGTGTAAGAATTGAAGCCACACGACCTCCCACAACGTTTCCAATTTGGTGAATGGGCGCTGGCAAAGTTGGAGGAAGATCCACATTTTTATCGAAAAATTGTGTTCAGCGACGAAGCTCATTTCTGGTTGAATGGGTACGTTACCAAGCAAAATTGCCGCATCTGGAGTGAAGACCAGCCAGAAGCATTGCAAGAGCTACCAATGCATCCCGAAAAAATTACTGTTTGGTGTGGATTATGGGCCGGTGGCATCATCGGGCCGTACTTCTTCAAAGACGACAATGGCCGGAACGTAACTGTGAATGGCGAGCGCTACCGTGCGATGATAACAAACTTTTTTTTGCCCAAAATGGAAGAGCTGGACTTGGCTGACACGTGGTTTCAACAAGACGGTGCCACATGCCACACCGCACATGAAACAATGGCCCTATTGAGAGGCGAGTTCGGTGAACAGTTTATCTCGCGTTTGGGGCCCGTCAATTGGCCGCCTAGATCGCGTGATTTAACGCCGTTGGACTATTTCTTGTGGGGCCATGTTAAGGCTAATGTCTACAGGGATGAACCAGCAACGATTGACGCACTGGAAGTCAATATTGTAGCATTTATTCGTGAGATACCGGCCGATATGTTGCAGAGAGTGTGCCAAAATTGGACCTTGCGCATGGGCCATCTAAAGCGGAGCCGCGGCCAACATTTACATGAAATAATCTTTAAACATTAAATTATATCGACCGCTCTATCGACTCAAATAAAGATTTAATCGTGTTTTCAAATTTTTTGTGTTTTTTTTTAAAATCAAATCCTATACCTCTCAAAAAATCTCCCGTTAAAATTTGCAAGGGGATGACCCTGGGGGGCAGAGGGTGGAAGGGGGTGAAGTAGCTTTTGGTTGAAAAGTTGTCCCCCATGACAAATCTGTTGACGTACCTCGGCGTTTTTTCTTTTAATCAGTGCTTTTCAATCAATCCGTAGTGGGAAGCTTTCAAATGAACAGCCTGGGTATCAAGGCATTGAGAGGTGCTTTTTTAGATGGCAAGAAAGATGAGATGCATTGGACATGGAACATGAAGTAGAGGGCTGATCTCAGATAATGAAATTCGGATTAACGAGAAGAATTCCTGATCATCGATTCGAGTATGGATGGATTGACTACCAGAAACAGTTGGAATAGACGCTCGGCGAGAGGATCACTGCTGGCAATTTTGCAAGCCGTCTAAACGAGGCAAATGGGCTGGTGTCCTACCAATAGTGAGGTGAGTGGTGATGATGGTGGTGATGATGGTGATGACGATGACGAAGACGATGACGATGACGATGACGATGACGATGACGATGACGATGACGATGACGATGACGATGACGATGACGATGACGATGACGATGACGATGACGATGACGATGACGATGACGATGACGATGACGATGACGATGACGATGACGATGACGATGACGATGACGATGACGATGACGATGACGATGACGATGACGATGACGATGACGATGACGATGACGATGACGATGACGATGACGATGACGATGACGATGACGATGACGATGACGATGACGATGACGATGACGATGACGATGACGATGACGATGACGATGACGATGACGATGTTAATAAAATGAGACCAAGGAATCAACAGTGGCATCCTGCCTGCTCGGTTGTACGAATCTATGTTTGTGTTCGACGGAGGGTAGATAAATAATCCACTTAATATACTAGTGAAATGTGGGATGCATTGCCCTGGTGGGATGTGTGGGTTTTTGTGATAGTGCTAATTCTGGAAAATCTTACACTTCGGGCAGGAAATGCCGTTAGACAATACTGTAAAAATTTTCTGGCTGCGAGTGGCTATAGACGGTTTCACCTGTCAAAAAAAATTGCTGAACACTTTTGTAGGCATCCAGAGAGGCTCTTGTACTCCTAGAAGGCAAATTCGCGAGTCGTGGGACTTCCTCCGGGTGGTGCCCATATCTTTATCTTATTGATCTTAGGGCATATACAGGGTTATCCAAATTAAGTGTCCACCATTAGTAACTTTGTTATTAGTGAAAATACAAAGTTGTTTGAATTAGCAAACTAGTAGCATTTTTAACGCTGGTAAAAATGAGAAATAAAAAAAAACAATTGAGAGTCGTTATTTTGATTTTTTTCAGTAAAATAACATTTTTTTAAATGGAAACGCCTGTATATTATATTTTTTTCTGTTAAAGCATCAAATTTTAAACAAAAAAGCTTACAATAACTTTTCTCCTAGGTTACAAATTGTTGAAGTTATGGCCTCCAATCTGAAACAATTAAATTGTATCGACAAACTTTATTTTCAACATCAACTTATAATCTTACAAAATACAATAACAATTTTTTTTAAAGAAGATGCTCGAAAACACCACCTTGTTCTTCAATACATTTTTGGGCACGTTTTTCAACTGCTCGAACTGTCTTAAGTATGGTCCTACCATCTATCTGGGTTATCTTTTCCCTAACTGCAGTCTTTAACGCGTCAAGGTTATCGTACCTTCGCTTGTAAATTTGGTTCTTTAAGTAACCCCACAAGAAGTAATCAAGTGGGTTTAGATCTGGTGATCTGGGAGGCCACTGTATTGGGCCATTTGTTCCTATCCACTGATCATTAAAAGTAGTACTTAGAAAATGATAAGTACCTCTGGAGTTGAGGGCAGGTGCGCCATCTTGCTGAAAATGCAGATGATGTCTACTTATAAGATCCAATTCGTCTAAGAAATTAGTCAGAATTTCTGACATAAATTCCACATATCTTTCACCAGTTAGGGTTCCCTCATAAAAGAACGGGCCAACAATTTTTGAACCAATTATACCGCACCAAACGTTGAAACTGAAACGGACTTGTGGGCCTCTAGGATGTACTAACAAAAGATTTTCTCTTGACCAATAATGGTGGTTTTTTCTATTAAACATTCCAGAATTTGAAAAATTTGATTCATCTGTCCATAAAAGGTAACGAAAGTTATTTACATTTTGGCGACAGAAGCTAAGATACCAATGGCAAAAAACAAGTCTTCTCTCTGGATCCCCTGCCAAAAGCGTTTGAACTGGTCGGTACTTATACGGAATAAATTTGTATTTTTTTAAAATCCTTTGAACAGTACCATAACTGAAATTAGAGTCCTTGAGAATATCTGCTATTGAATTCTCACGATAAGCTTCAAAATATCCAATAACTGCAATTTCCGTGGCCTCGCTTATTATGAATTCTTTTTTTGCCCTTGTTTTAGCAAAAACATTTTCGTTGCCCCTAAATTTTCGATAAAGTCTCAGAAAATATCGTTCATACGGTTCAATGCGGGCGGGATATAATTCACTCTTGCTCTCAAGGAGGATTTTCTGCACACTAAATAGCATTCTAACATATCACACTTTTCTTCATGGGAGAACATTTTTCTTTAAATTAATGACACAATAAAGCTTATAAACAAGTATTTACACTAATGTTTGACATTATTTGATTTTATCATTGTTTTCCAAAGCCTTCTAGTTGCGAGTATGTCCAGTTTAACAATTTGTCGCTTATCTTAATGCTGTCAAATCGCGAACGCCATGTTGTTTTCATATCCGTCTTAATATTATAATACTGCAAATAATTAAAAATATTTATCGTTATTTTGACTTTATTTTTGACTTTAGCGGAAAAGTCATTATGAACTTTTTTGTTTAAAATTTGATGCTTTAACAGAAAAAAATATAATATACAGGGGTTTCCATTTAAAAAAATGTTATTTTACTGAAAAAAATCAAAATAACGACTCTCAATTGTTTTTTTTTATTTCTCATTTTTACCAGCGTTAAAAATGCTACTAGTTTGCTAATTCAAACAACTTTGTATTTTCACTAATAACAAAGTTACTAATGGTGGACACTTAATTTGGATAACCCTGTATATTCCTATGCCCTATATCTTAAGGAAAACTCCGTTTAAATTCGAGAATTTTCAAGGAAGGAGTTTTTATTGTTTCTTATCAGAGATGTGTCGTTCTGGAATTTTTCTACGAGTACCAGTATCTGTCTACCATTCCACTGGGTATTACCTTCTCGGAGCAAGGAGTAAAGTTTTCCTGGAGTTTCTCACTGCTAATATCCATACTGTGCTGGGGAGAGTAGTCATTTTGACTTTCTGAATTACAGAGTACTCTATTTTAGTAGTAAGGATTGTCATTCTCTGTGAAACTTTGCTCATCTCTTCCTTCCATCTTTTCTCAAAATTGTTTGCTTTGAGAGTGGGGAGGGGAAAGAGTACTTGACTGAGACTGACAATTCTTGATAGCCTATCTGTACGTCACCACCTTTTTGTATGGTGGCATTTCACTTATTTGACTAACATTGTCCTTGACTTCACTGCAGCTGACTGGGAACAGGAATGGATTGCTTACAACCCATAACTTTTGCTGCCCCTTTTTATCCCCGTTACCTTATTTAAGTGATTGTTTAGTCTGACGTATCGCAAAGACACAGATACTTTGTACTAGCCTTGTCAAAATTCTGGACACTTGATAGTCTTATCTCTGAGAGTTCAGCATCATTATTTTATTAACACGCTAATATTAGCTTGGCATGTATGTAATGGAATCTTTGAGTATTTCCAGAGGTTTGATTAATTTGAAACGGCTTTCCATTATCCTTATAAGAAAAATTCCGTAAAAATCAGATATGTTAATAAAAAGCCACGGATTGCAAATGCCGCTTTACGGATATTGAAACTATAAGCCTCTGTAGGCCAAGTGGTAAAGCACTGGTCTTGTATACCAGGGGCTGTGAGTTCAATCCTCACAGGAGGCAGATTGTGGTATACTTTTTTTATTATTTATACAATGAACAGGGTTCGAAAACGGCATACGAAGTCACCAACAACAGCAAACTTACACATTATGGTATAATGGCCAGAAGACCTCGAGTGTTCAAGGCGACATCTAACTATAACTTCGCGGCCAGCTCAATCCACTTGTCCAAAGCATATACAAAAGGGAGGAAGGATCATGCGCAGAAAGGTATCTAACAGATTGATACAAAATTATGGGCAATTCTGCAAGAAGAAGTAGTATGCATTCATTTCGGGCCTGATGAAGCCAACAAGCAAAAATCGTATTGCTCGGGTTACCTGTCTCCTTTTTTTCTGCTCGAAACCACTTTCGTTCTTTTTGTGGAATTTCTTTTTAGCGAATGTTCTACCTTATTTTGATAACAATGAACAATTATTACAGCAAACAATCTGAAAATAGAACTCTATACTACGAGTACATACTACATAATACCTTTCTTCCGAGGTATACCGCCTTAATCCATTCCCATCTGATAATAACTATCAGAGCAATACTAGTGATGATAACCATGCATATGGTACATATCCAAACATTGGTATCAAATGGAAGTGTAAATACATTTGTGACGTAGGACAACTTAGGCTCTCTAAACACGAACTTCGATCTTGTCGGTGTGGTCATAGCTATGTAGTCTATAATGTCTACTCTGTCTATTGTAAAGAACAACGGGGTGCCTGGAAAAAACAATTGATATCAGGTTTATTTTTTTTCAACCTAGAAGGGTTGAGGCGATCCGATTTATCCCTGGATTCACAACAATTGTAATAACATTTTAAAATATCGCCTTGACCGAATATTTGCCATGTATTAACTCACAAGAAAACTGCAAAGGTAAGAAGAGATCAACAGAACACTGAGAGAGATTAGAATCCAGGATTCCAGAGGGCTCACAAACAAATGAGGGTTCTGGTGTGATTGGGAAACATCCGCAAGCACTATTTCTAGAGAATTGTTTAATTCTACATTATCTATTTATTTATTCGTATGACTTACATGATAAAGGTATTAGATGATATGAATACAGGGTATTTCAAAGGTCAATACAAAGTCTTGGGGAGGGGATAGGGCAGACCATTTAGAGTATTTTCAGCCAAGCATACCTTGGTACAAAGTCTTACGAGATATTCGGGTTTTCAAATTTAGATCATAAATTAGTAAACGAAACAAAATAAACTATTGAAACATGCTTTATTGGTGTTCAAAGTGAGAACCATTGTTTCTAATACATGCTCGAGCTCTACGTGTTACTTTGGTAGTTGTATTTAATAAGCTGCCTTGCTGCATTAAATAAAAACCTTCTCGAATTTTTCTTATCAAGTTGTCTCTTGATACGATTTCTTCAGTGTAAACTAACTGTTTAGCCCGCTCCCAGACATAGAAATCCAATGGTGTCAAGTCCGGGGATTTAGCAAGCCACGGAATTGGTCCACCTCTGCCTGTCCAGCTGTTTCGACCAAAAAATATTGTCGTGTCGTGTTGAAAAACAATTTGCATGTCATCTGGAATTTCTACTCCTACAAGTAATTCTGGAACATCATTTTGCACACATTAAGGACCTAAAGGTGCGTAAAGCACCTGGAGAGGATCAGACCACCAACAAAGCACTGCAGTTGCTTCCGCTCAAGGCTTTGACTTATGTGGTGGCAATAATCAGTGCAATGCTCAGAACTCATTTCTTTCCTAAGGCATGGAAGGTCGCTGAAGTCATCATGATCCTAAAGAAGGCAGGTTCGATATTCCCCCAGGATTACCGTCCCATTAGTCTGTCAGCTCCTTCTAAGCTCGCTGAAAAGGTGATTTATCGTCACCTTGAGAATTTCTCGTCGGATCACCATGTGATTCCTGACGTGCAATTCGGCTTTCGGTCTGAGCATAGTACGGAGCTATAGGCAGTTAGACAGGTGGAGCATGTAACCACGGAGTTCACCCTGAACAAAGGTACTGGTATCTTGCTTTTAGGTGGCTACTAAAACTGTTGAAATCTTTTCTAGAAGGAAGGAAGTTTCGGATCATAATTAACAATGTGTTGTCAACAACACGGCCCATAAGAGCCGGTGTTCCTCAAGGTTCGGTCTTAGGACCAATCCTTTATTCACTTTATATACATGACGTCCCTTGCCCCAGCAACTGTGAAGTCTATCTCTATGCTGACGACACTGCATTGCTAGCCCAGTCTTGTTCTGGTAACCTGGTTCACGACAGGCTGCAGAGTGCGGTGGAGGAAGTATTGGAGTGGGCGGATCGGTGGTTGATCAAAATTAATACGTCGAAAACGCAGGCAATCTATTGTACTAAAAAACGTTGCGGTGCCCCCTCAGAAATATCAGTGAATGGGAGCAATCTGTCAGGTATCTTGGAGTCACCATTGACAAGGGGTTGGCCTAGCAGGAACATACTGATATCTTGGAAACAAAATTCCAAATTACCTTACGGCAGCTTTATCCTGTGTTGTGCAGAAATTCAAAATTAAGTTTGATCAACAAGATTCGGTTGTATAAAATGGTCATAAGACCCGCAATCACCTACGCATGCCCGGCTTGGTGTTTTCTTGTCAAGACGCACATACAGAGGCTGCAAGTCCTGCAAAATAGAACCCTATGCACAATTACTAACGCCCCTTGGTACGTGTCAAATGAGACCATTCACAGAGATCTTGATATCCCATATCTAAGGGATTATGTAAAACAGCAGCCGCAGCGGCGTTATAACCAAGCGGAATCGCACAGCAACCCTCTGTTGCGTGGTTCAGTAGACTACACAGTCGAGCAAGTTCGCAAACGTTCCAGTCCGCGCCTCGCAGTGTGATCAAAATTAAGTTGTAAATTCAGACCAGGCAAAATTATTTCAGTATAAAAAACCGATCAAAATAATTTTTTGGAGTTACAAAATAATTCGAGTAGTCAAAGCAATAATGCTTAAGCTAATTCAAATGATTTACATATTTTCTTTGCTCTATTTCTTCCTTCCTTTCTTTCCTTCTTTCGCTTTTCCCCTTAAACATGTTTGGTATCTGGTCAGCCAGACCTGACAGACTAACAGACCGACGAGACTTTTAACTAAGAGCAAAGGTCCACCGGACCGCTCTGACGAATAATGACGAATAGTAGTAGTATCATTTTGCAAAAAGTGTAGATAACTGTCGCCGTTTAATCTTCCAGGCAAAAAATGAGAACCGATTAATCTTTGTCCCATGACGGCGGCCGATACATTCACCGAAAATTTGTGCTGGAAAGACGCCGTTTTTTTTCAGTGTGGATTTTCTTGTTTATTACCTCCTTTGAAAAATTGGATACGTCCGTTCATAGAATGCTTTCTAGAAACCGTTTTTTCTCAATGTCCTGTATAAAAAATACAAGATCAGTTTTTTGGGTAGGTTGGGCAACATCTCCCTACGAAACTGCATTGATCTGTTGTATTTGTCTTTGGGAATGAAGCATATGCTTTCTGCGTATTTGATTTTTGAAATTCCATGGCTTACTGCCGAAACGAATTTTGGTATTGAGGGTATCGTTAGATTCGTCCTGATAGTACAATTAAAACTTGATTATATTTAGCTACTGCAGTATGTTTATTTTTAATGTAATACGGTCGCTTGAAGTTGCTTATGAATATTTCCTCGTTATCCATCTCTTCAGCATATTGTTACACATACCTCCGATGTCAGCCTCATTCCTGACCAGTTCTCCAATCATACCACTCCAATCAAATGTAACCTCGTTGAAGTAGCCCCAAGTGGGCTGAACAGAATACCTTAGGGTAGCATTGACTATGTCTTTCAAATGTTCCACAATCACATAATTTACCTTAGCTATACTGTCGATATGTTTATCCCTGCAATGAAATAGTTCAATAAATAATAAGGGCAAAATTTTGTATAAAAGGTAAATGCTTAAATTTTTTAAGCCAGCAAATATTAGGATTTATTTGAAAATCGTTGTAAATTCAAACTGAACTGAGCTCTCTTGACACTAAACATATCTGAAGGTATACTTCCAAGGTTATCCCCTCCAGACTCCAAGGTCGTTTACAATCCCAAGGTCTTTTGTATTTTCAAGGTCATCTACAACTTCAAGGTCGAACAAACTCAAGGTCACTAGACTTGCAAGGACACCGTCATTCATGGGTGGGTTTCAAGGTCGAGATCACATCGCTTCAAGGTTATTTGCGTTTCAAGGTCACGTGATTTCAATGTCACACGTTTTCAAGGCGATTTCAGAACATATAAACCCTATCTACTTTCATATAATTGAGTCTCACGTTACCCTAGTGTCGTTCTGCTTAAAGGGATTTTATAGTCTTTCTGTTAACATAAATCGATGAGTGCCTCTAATTAGGAAATAGTATTCCCATATACGAAATTCTTATGTTTAAATATCACGTACAAGCAGTCAGTCTCATCGCTCATGGAACGCACCCTGTTCAGTTGTGTATATGAATACATTTTCATACCTTTTATCTGTTAGGTGATTCAAAGAATCATTATTGGTGATCACAATGCAGCTGTCCAAAGTAGTACCCATCAGATTTCCTCGCCTTCTTAGCACATTTTTTTCTATACCATATTCAACAAGTCCACCTGAAAGAGTCCAGTATCCGATGGTTTCCACGTTGATAGAACATCTTTTATGCATTTTGTATATCTTCTCAATAGAAATCGTTTGATTTTTTTGGAGAGTGCAGACTGTCACGTCGCTATCCAGGAGTATGTTCAAATTATCGAACGATACGTTTGTATCGTTATGTTTATAGAAGATCCACTTCACCGGTGAGGCGAAAAACATGTTGGAGTCAGCCTGGAAAGCACTCAACAGAAGTTGGCGAGGATTGAAAATGATTAAAAATTTCAAGCAAGGGGATTAAAAGACTTTGGGTAATTGTATTTTGAAGCTGAAACTTAATGTGATTTGCTTGGGTAGAGACGTATGCTGACAGTTGAAGCTATGTATACATATACCCTTTCATAAGAACATGTGTCCAAAATTATTTTGTTATAAAATTAATACAGAAGAGATGAATATAAAGGGTATTTTTTGCAGGTGGTGTTTAAAAATTGTCCTAACTCAATCTAAACCATGGAAGTAAAATTTGACAACTTGAAAAAGGCAGAAAGATCTTTTCTACGCAACTAACTTCCAAAACTTCTGTTCCATTTCAAAATTATAAGTATAATCAATTACATTCTCCGTAGTTGAGAATTTGTCAGGATAAGAAACGTTATAAATAATTTCAAGCGAGATTGAGGATGATCTTACCTTCGGACAGCTGATAACATACAATAATAACAATAATAATAATAATAATAATAATAATAATAATAATAATAATAATAATAATAATAATAATAATAATAATAATAACAATAATAATAATAATAATAATAATAATAATAATAGTAATAATAATAATAATAAGTATGTCTGTTCACCATAGTAGTTAAACAACATCGGTTCTAACTCACTCTGCCAACCTGCCTGAGCCGCCACCGCCCCACCCCGGCCACCCCAGCCCACCCCTCTCAAACAGGTCAGAAAGGCCCAAAGACCACGTGACAGACCACGTGACACACCACGTGACCCACCCCCATGACGTCACGTATGCCAAAAAGGCATAATACCATGTGACCCGCAGAAATGGTGTGTAATCGTGATATATATAATTATGCATGAGAGAGTAGTATCTCGCCTATAGCCTATCTTTGGTAGTAGTAAGAAATTTGTACGGATACATATGCATAAGAGGAGCCTAGCCTAGCCTAGCCTGACCTAATTGCGACCGATGACGATGGTCGGCGACGACGACGACGACGACGACGATGACGACGACGACGACCATCTCGTTCATGTTATGAGATAAAATAGTCATATGTGCGAGGGAAGAAATGAAACGACAGCGGTAGTGTGATATTGTATTTGAGTTGAAAAAAAAAATAGTATGAATCTTAACGTATTCAATCATATAGAAAGCAATGTATATCTGAAGTGTCAAAATGCTTGAATGTATGTTTAAAACTGTTGGTAGAGTATGTTTTTCTTTGGAAAATAACGTATCCCTGTCGTAGCAACTGCCTTATATTGTATTGTCCACAGTACATAATTGTGCCTTTTCGCTTCATTGTGACTGGACAATAGTTCAGATCTTGTCCAATTACATATCCAATTGTTTGATTGTTGTGAGTTTTAAATCTGTGTCTATGGATAATTCTCTTCCTGAGTAATAGAATGCTGGATACGACTTTAATTCCGTGATTCCATAATTATGTAATTCATACAGATAGAAAACTCCGTCTTCAATGTTGAATATCTGATCTGCAACTACAACTGGTTCATTTTGATAACACGTTGTTAGTGTAAAAAAAGGAATCACTAAAACAGCAACTAAATCCAGACAGTTCATCGCGGTGTTCTTCCTTAGAATGATACCTTCATCTGATTTTTTCTTTTTTATATTATACGGAAAGGGGAGGGTGATGAATGTTATTATTCTTCATTTAACAGCCAAATTGTCAACCGGTCACAAACCGAACAACATTGCATTTTTCTTTGTCGTATGTTGGTGTATTGAGGAGTCACTTGTATGGTGAACAAAGTATTTTTCCAGCATGAAACGCAAATATATGAAGGCATTACTTATTGGATGGACACCACTAATCACTAGCAGCGTATCAATCAACAACAACAGCATTAAGCAACGGGAGTATTATAACTAGTAACGTCCACGATTAAACTCACCATTCCAGTTGCTACTACTCATGTGCTATGAAGTACTATGGTGGTGGTGAAGGCTTACTTAATACAGCTATAAATAATTTACCTGTAGAATTACACATCTCAACGTACAATCACTGTGGTCCTGGCAGTAAGCTTGATGAAAGGTTAGCCAGAAATGACCCAGGTGTGAACGGATTGGATGAAGCTTGTAAACAACACGATATATTTTACTCAAAAGAAAAAGGTCTGAGTAATCGTCACTTGGCTGATAAGGTGCTAGAAAAACAGGCAATGAATAGGTTTCGTGCAAGTGATTCGTCTTGGAAAGAGAAGGCTGCCGCATTAGCTGTAGCAGGTGCCATGAAAGCTAAAGTAAAACTTGGAATGGGCTTAAAAGAAACCTATGAAAGGCACAAAAAACATAATATAAACAATTGTTTGAAGAAATTACATAAATTAGCGAAAGATTTACAGGGGTCTCAAAAACTTGTTCAAGACTCTGTACAAATTCTACAAACTGAACAGTCATGTCAAAAAGATATACACCTGAAAGATAAGGAAAAAAATATATCTAGTGAGAGAAAAGTAAGAGAAATCAAGAAACGCGAAAGCAAAAAAAAACTCTGACATAAAACATGAAACTTCGAAAGTTAAGCGTGGACGAAAACCAAAGTCTGATTTAGAGGACATAAAAGAAAAAAGAAGAGAAGAGAAGAAAAAACCAAAAGCTACAATTGAATACATGGACACTTATATAACAGAAGAGCAAAAGAACAAACCAAAAAAGAGAAAACTGGATTCAGTCACTTCTACTACTACTACTACTTCATTGAATGCTGAACAAGTGAAAAAAAGAAAAATTGATTTGGATGATCCGGTTATAATTCCCGAGAAAAAATGCAGTACAAAACGTAAAAGGGAATCTGATGATGAAGTAAAGGAAAACAAACAACGTAAATTAGATATGAGTGACGTAATTCCGCCTCCATGGAACCAACATAACCGAAAACGGAAGATTCAACCAGATGATCATGATGATGATGATTATGATGATGATAACATACCTAAGAAAGTTAAAGTTATAAGTACCTAGCAATCCAGACATTTAAACTCAGTAATGAAAATGGCACGTAAGAAGAATGTTAAACCTAAGAAAAGAGCTACAATTGACCAACAACAACAACAACGACGACGATCACAGCGACAGAAAAAAAATCAAAGTAAATCAAGTACGAAAAGGAAGGTTAGCTTTTCTAGTGCAATTAAACGAATAGGAAAACATGTGGTAGCTCAAAAACCTACTACCTTTGGAGAAGCAATTACCTGTAGCATTGAGGGAGGCACAAAATTTGAAGAAAGGTGTAAGAAAGCCGCCAAATCGTATAGTGAAGATACCGAAAAAAGGAGGTGTACTACCACTAATCCCAATTTTTGCTGGCTTATCAGCCCTTGGAGCTTTGTCTGGCGGTGCTGCTGGTATTGCTAAGGCTGTCAGTGATGCAAACTCTGCGAAGCAGCAAGTACCAGAATTTCAACGTCATAATCAAATGATGGAAGCTGTAGCACTTGGAAAGGGAATGTTTTTGAGACCCTATAAAATGGGAATGGGTCTTTTCCTGAAACCATACACTAACTGAAACCAGTTGTGAGATAAAGGAAAATGAAAAAGAAAAAACAAGTAGTTAAAAAAATTTCAATTCCAAACAAACTTTGAACTGGAAAAGTATGCAAAGCGTTTAAAAATACCGTATTTTCGAGGAGTATTTATGCGAGATAAGCTTCCCAAAAAAATAAAAATCAATGAAAGAGGAATCATTAATTTGGATACATCTACTGGACCAGGTACTCACTGGACTGCATATAAGAAAAAAGGAAACTTGGTGGTTTACCTAGATACATATGGAAACTTAGAACCACCATTGGAAGCAATTGTGTATTTTAATTGTAGTGGACCCTGTAGAATACAGTACAATTATAATGTATTTCAAAGATTTAATACTGTAAATTGTGGTCAATTGTGTTTACGTTTTCTCAAAGGTGAATAAATACTGGTTACCATAATAACACTTGTTTATTTCATCTATGACCAGTGATCGGTTCATATCATGTATACATTTACCTTATCTGGTAGAGAGTGTGTGTTATCAGCTAAAATCTATCCACCTATAGTACTCGACAACAGTAAAACGTACGCTTTAGGACTTATTGATTTTTTAACTTTCAACACAATACCCAACATAGATATAACAAATAATAAGTTTCATATTGATGATGAGGTTTTAACAATACCTGAAGGTAGCTATGAGATTACAGACATTATAGAATTTATTAAAGAGAGAATCAAACCACGAGTAGGTGAACAAAATAAAAAAAGGAGAATGTCCCCACAACAACAACAACAACCACAACAAAAACAAAAACGATCTCTAAGTTCAAATGCAATTTCAAAAGAGGATAAACAGCCTGACATACAACTCCATATGCGAAATAATTTAAATACGTTACGGTTTGAAATTAAAAGTAACCGACTCATCGATTTTGAGCAAACTGGTACAATAGGTGGGTTATTAGGGTTTAGTAAGAGAAAATTGAGTCCACATGAACTACACATCTCAGATTTTCCTGTAAATGTTTCCAAAGTGAACTCTATATGTGTGGAATGTAATCTGATAACGAATTCTTTTAGAAATGATCATGCTGTTCACACGTTGCATATGTTCTACCCTAACGTGGCTAGTGGATTTCGCATAATAGAAAAAGTATCAAATATCATTTATCTACCAATAAATAGCCATTACATTGATGAAATAGTGCTTAAAGTAGTGGATCAAGACGGAAATGTGATAACGATAAGAGTACATTTAAGAGAGCTTTAGCATGGTATTCCTTTATAATATTGTAGTACCGTTGAGCTCAGCTAACAGCGAGAACAACAACAACAACAAAAACAAGGATAAAGGTCAAAATAGATCAACAAAAACTATTAATAAACAAATTCATGTTGGTAAAACAGTTAGTAGTAAACAAGGAAGCAAGGGATTAACATCCGAAAATATACAATTCCTACAGTTGCTTGGCTTTAAGGTGATTGTATAAGTGTGGCGGACGCATATCAAGAACAAACGATCAACAGTGATAGTAATAGCAGCAGCAGCAGCAGCAGCAACAAGACCAGCACTGCTGGATTGATACTACGCATAAAATTAGCACTGTACTCTGAACTACAAAAGTTATTTGTTAATCTCAAGTGTAGCTGTTTGATAAAACAAACAAAAAAAAAGATGAGCTTCAATATTCTCAACATAGGAGAAAATATTTTAATGGATAATTCTATTACCAATTGTGAAATGCATAGCCATCCACCATACGCTAATACAACTTTCAATAATTCAGATGAAATAAGAATACCAATACAAACACAAGATATCTATACACTACCTTGTAATAGCTCACTGTACATTGAAGGAAGATTAGTAGAGGCAAAGGAGAAGAAATGGTCACCAACATTACGCCTCGTAAATAATTTTGTATCATTTTTATTTGATGAATTGCGATATGAAATTGGAGGTATAGTTGTTGATAGAGTTCGCAATCCTGGTATAACAACCACCATTAAAGGACTGGTATCTTTCACAAACAATGAAGGTAATAGTTACCAACATGCAGGCTGGAATCATCAAGAATTACCCGAAATACGAAACAGTGAAGGTTATTTCAGTGTAACTATTCCACTGAAAAATTTAATGGGGTTTTTTGAATACTTTAAAAAAGTACTAATCAACATCAAACAGGAATTGGTCCTTATAAGAAGCTCCACAGATGTTAATGCAATTGTAACGACAACACCTGGCGAGAAACCTCATTTGGATCTGTACAGAATGCTATGGAGAATTCCACACATCCAAGTATGTGATACTGAAAAACTACACCTCATGAAGTACATAGAGAAAGGAAGGGACTTACCACTAGCGTTCAGGAGTTGGGAATTGCATGAGTACCCCATTTTACAACAGACAAATAAACATACATGGAACGTCAAGGCGACTAATCAATTGGAAAAGCCACGTTTCGTTATTGTTGCTTTTCAAACTGATCGGGAAGGACAGCTGACTAAGAACTTGAGTCACTTTGATCACTGTAACCTGAGCAATATCAAATTATTTTTGAATACTGAAATTTATCCATATGACAATGTAACTTTCAATATGAGCAGAAATTATTTTAGTATCTTGTATGAAATGTATGTGCGCTTTCAGCAGTCCTATTATTATAGAAATTCCAGTGAGCCATGTCAAAACGTGAAAACTTTCAATGATGCAACCCCACTTTTTGTTATTGACTGCAGCAGGCAAAATGAGACATTAAAATCGGGCTCTGTTGATATTTGATTGGAATTTGAAACTACCGTAAATATACCATCAAATACTACTGCATTTTGTTTGATATTACATGATCGTCTTGTAAAATATAATCCATTAAATAGTACTGTAAAAGTTTTTTGATAAGAGATGTTGATCTTGTATTGATAGTTTGTAAAGAGAGAGTGTGTAAATAAAACATTACTTGTGGAGAAATCACTTTTTTATTTTGAAATATGTTTTGTGACAATAACAATGTGTCATCATCATCATCATCATTGTCATCGTTATCATTGCCGCGTGTGACTGTTGTAGATGCTGCTGCTGGTGGTGGTGGTGGTGGAGGTGGTGCTTTCCTAACCTTTTGCGTAGGCTCCTTCTCCTCCTGCTCATCATAATCATCATTACCATCATCATCTACCACATTTTGTAACAGTGGTGGTTCCAGATACAATTTTCTCTTCTTACCACCAACACCACCACTGCCACGAAGACCACTCGTTCCAGGTCGATCTTGTATAGATTGTCGATTGATGTCTTCCAACTGTTCGTCCAACAAATTGAACCGATATTTTTTACGATTCATTCCAATACCTGGAATTCCGCGTTCTTATCTAATTTGGTCCTCAAATTTTTGATTGGCAACAAACCGAATTTTCGTTTTAATGTTGCTGCTCATGGTGAGTACATTAATTTTACGAAGATTTTGCCACCGCTCGCTTTGATCCCCTGACACCGTATCTGAAGAAGAAAAAAAAAGATTAATAGAACTGTACCCATACACTACCAAGGTAAGTGACATTACCAAAAAGCGGTGAAAAACACATTAGGAATACTAGTTTTAGGTTGATTGTTAATACGTATCTAAATATGTATGCTAGGCACTGTTGAAATAAAAATACATAACAACTAATAAAAGGTCTCCTAGAATAAGGAATTGGAAACATAACACACAATAATAATGACACAATAGCAAAAGCAAATCAGTATTGAGAGAGAGAGAACGAAAGAGAAATATATAAAGTTACTTACTGAAACAATTCCTTCATGACCAATAACAGGTCATTAATTGGTAAATTCACAGGATCTTCCGTGAAGACGATGAGAGTTGTTGGTGTTGTTGCCATTATACGTCTTGATCACCACCACTTGTAACTCTGATACTAACTACTTACACACACTAGCAATTTATACAGATCTTTTACGAAAAAAACAAACATCCATATCAATTGCAAGCTGACTGTTTGCTTCCATAAAATATAAGATAGTTTTCCATCAAACAATCGTATGATTCTATAATTGCATGATGTCTAAGGTCAGAGGTCAGAGGTCATTGACGTCATTCTCCATATCAAGGAAAATAAAATTTTGCTGCATGTGCGTAATCATCATGTTTACATAATTGCATGAATAACATAAACTATCTAAAGTCCGGGGTCATCGGGTCGTCATGCGTCTCCATATCAGTGGAAAATAACATTTGATGCAAATGTGCACAACATGTTTGTTTCTAGAATAGTATCGTATGATTCCTTATTAGTGATAAATAGCATTTTTTTGTCAGATTTCACTGTATTTAAGCCAGCATCTTGACCACATTCGTCATCAGTGTTCACACACACACACGCACACACACGCACACACACGCACACACGCACACACGTACACACGCACACACGCACACACGCACACACGCACACACGCACACACGCACACACGCACACACGCACACACGCACAAACGCACACACGCACACACGCACACACGCACACACGCACACACGCACGCACACACACACCCACACACGCACACACGCACACACGCACTGACACACACACGCACACACGCACACACACACGCACACACACACACACACACACACACACACACACACACACACACACACACACACACACACACACACACACACACACACACACACACACACACACACACCTACACACACACACACACACACACGCACGCACGCACGCACGCACGCACGCACGCACGCACGCACCCACGCATACACGCACACACACTCACACACACACACACACACACACACACACATATCCAAATGAGTAGCAGCCAAAAGGTGATCGATACTGTGTCTGACGAATTCGTTAGGAGAATAGAGGTGGTAATTAGATTAGTTAGGACAAAAGCAGACTACGATTTTTATATTAAAGAGATACAAAAATGTATTAGAACGCTTAATAGGTGTATCAAACATAAGTTTGATTGTGTTAAGAATTTTTCAAAAATAGAGTCTAATTTGTCACTTCTCAAGGCTTACCTTGAAAACTTCAAATATAAAAGAAATCGTAAAAGCCAAAATAGAGAGCTTGTTTGGGCAAATGTGGATTCATGCTTTAAGAATAGAATTAAGTCAGGTATTATAGTTAATTTGAAAATAAAAGATCCAAAATTATTTTTCAAGAGAGCATTCAAAAGTTTTGCGTTACAAATAAGAAAACAGCTTGATATTTGTATGTTAAAATCGAAAGTTATTTTTTATAGTTTGTTCATTAAGCCTCAGACTGCTGAAAGATCGATCAAACATTGTATTACAAAAAGTCATATAATTGATAGAAATACCAATTTAAAAGAGTGGTATAAAGTTCATGTCACTGATCAAGTTTTGAGAAAATTAGAAGAGTTCCAAGGGCGTCATTCTGGATGGGCCTTATTAGAAATTTTGCATTTAAAAGTGAATATTAATAGATATTGCCCCATAAATGTTGGTGTTTCAACTCATGTTCCCTCACCAAAATTTATACAAAGGTCAAAAAGTGTAATTAATATTAAAAATAATGATAATTATTGTTTTTTGTGGTCAGTTGTAGGCGCCTTGTATCCTGTAGAAAAAAATGTAGCCCGCCAATCATCATATCCTCATTTCAGTACAGTATTGAAATACGAAAATATCAGCTTTCCTATACGTTTGAAAGATATACCCAAGTTTGAGATTAGGAATAACCTAGCAATAAATGTGTTCACACTCGTAGGCAATCGAATGAGTGAAGTTGTACCATTGATACTCAGTGAAACTAATTTCACGCCTAGAATCAATTTACTTATGTTTTGCAATAATGATAGTTACAATTCGAATGCTGACACTATTTATCATTTTGCGTATATAAAAAATTTGTCACGCCTATTAAGTAGACAAATAGGTTGGAAAGATCACAAAAAATGGATTTGTGAAAGGTGTCTAAATTATTTTACAAGTGAACATCATTTGAGAAAACATTCTGAAGATTGTAAGCAGCTTAACAGCACTAAGGTCGTCAAGGTTTATACGAATTGTTATTTAGAAAATATCCGAACATGGATTTCTGCAGCTCTGACGATGTCAACACCTACAGGCAAATTGTATATAAAACTAATGCCCACAGGAGGTACTACAGATCTAATACTCAACTGGATGGGAGTAAGCTACAAAAATATAAAAAAATTATAGCACCTCCTTTAAAAATGGGTTATGGAATAATGAACAATAAAAATATGGCCACGAAAATTTAATATTCTAGCGATGATAAAGATTATATATACTGGGATGATTCAAATGAACTTGTAAGTCATCTACGCTTGTTGATTGCATCAAGAGCTGCTGGTCACTCGGGTCATGTTAATGAGATCAATTCAATAGTTGAGGAATTAAGGGAAAGTCAATATATTGAATAATGGTTAAAATATTTAAAACAAACATAAAACGTCAAGTCGTTGAAGAACTACACAAACCTGCACGTATAAATTTCCAAAGAAGACGAACCATTTTGAAATCTCTAAACGACCTTTTCCAAGCAGATCTTGTAGAAATGATACCATACTCGAGTGAAAATAAAGACAACAAATATATACTAGTTGTGATAAATTGCTTTTCTAAATTTCTTTGGGCTCTACCTTTACAAAATAAATCATGTAAAGCGGTTACAAAAGCTATGGAAACTATCCTAAAACAACAAACACTCAAAAATCTACAAACAGACGCGGGACTGGAATTTTTAAATCATGATTTTAAAAACCTAATGAAGAGATATAATATAAATCACTATCATACATTCAGCGAAAAGAAGGCAGCCATTGTGGAAAGAGTGAATCGAACTTTAAAAAATATGATGTGGAAAGAATTTAGTCTGCAGGGAAATTATAAATGGATAAGTATTTTACCACAACTGGTAGAACGATACAACAATAAGAAGCATAGAACTATACAAATGAAGCCAGCTGATGTTACAAGAAGGAATGAAAAAAAACTATTATCTACTGTATATAATCGCTTGAAAACGGTAAACTTAAAAACGAAATTCAAAGTGGGTGATTATGTACGCATTTCTAAAATAAGAGGTGTTTTTGATAAGAAATATCAGCCAAATTGGTCGCCTGAAGTTTTCAAAATACGAAAAGTAACACTAACTAACCCAATAACATATTTGTTGAAAGATGAAAATAATCAAAATATTTTAGAAGGGTTTTATACAGAACAACTGCAAAAGGTAAAACATCCTGATGTTTATCTTGTAGAAAAAATATTGGAAAAAAAAGAGACAATATCAAGGTCATATGGTTAGGATTCGATAAGCAACATGACAGCTGGGTACATAAAAAGAATATCGTCTAATAAACAATCTCAATTCATGTTCAGTCTTCTTGTGCAGCGTTTGCGTTCGACAGTCCACAAAAAAGAATGATCATTATTGACGTTCAAGGGTTTACTTGTGGCTCCAACTTTATTTGCAAAGAAATTGCTATCATTAATACAGCAACGGGATATTGGCAACAAAAATTAGTTAATCTACCCGTAGAACTTACAATGCTCAACAAGAGCACACAGTCACAGATCAACTGGACTGTAGACAATTTACATGGAATTCCTTGGGATTTATCTCCTTCTGAAGAGTCATGTCTTCATTATGAACAGTTGGCATCGTTCATCAAAGAACATGTTCAAGATCAACCAATATTTGTCAAGGGATGCCCGAAGAAACAGTGGTTGGAAAGATTCATCACTAATCCCATCACCCATCTACATGAAATAGGATGCCCAAATCTTGGCAAGCTGAAAGAAATGTTCCAGTACAAACATTGTTATAAACATGTGTATAATAATATGCTTTGTGCTTTAGAAAATGTTCATTTGTTATGTAATTGGAATGTTATATCTAATGCTGTAACATTGCAAACATTGTAATGCATAAAAAAATATCACACTACCGCTGTCGTTTCATTTCTTCCCTCGCACATATAACTATTTTATCTCATGACATGAACGAGACGGTCGTCGTCGTCGTCATCGTCGTCGTCGTCGTCGTCGTCGACCATCGTCATCGGTCGCAATTAGGTCAGGCTAGGCTGAGGCAGGTTGGCAGAGTGAGTTAGAACCGATGTTGTTTAACTACTCACCATGTTAGGTGCGGTACCTCGACAGCGTCTGTTCTCCATGGTACTGCACAACCCTTAATGAGAAAATATGGTACAAACTAGAAGTAAAAGGTATTCAGGCGGGCCGGGGATGCAGGCCCCGGATCGGAACCGTCGGGAAGATGGACCTGCAAACGACCCCAGCTCTAGACAAATGGTTACCTCTGAACAATCAAGGAACATTCATCAAGCTCTAGCTGAAAATCGAACGAGTCTTGGTAGCTCGCCACCTCAGCGCAGGCCGGCTGCTGCCAGAACTGAATATCGAAAGCGCTTAAAGTGGACCAAACAAATGAATATTGATGCGTTGTTATTTTAAAGTCAATAACTGTTCAGAGCATTCCTTGCCAGGATGGAGATTTAAGGTGTATACATAATTCAACAGACTATACCCAAACTTAGTTGTTACTTAACAAAACGCGGTTAACCGAAAGAATGTATTAGTAAAGTATAAGTACCTTTCTGATGTTGAAATAGGTCTAATACGCAGACAAGTGGAGAACGAGCTTGGTTATGCTGAGACAATTGCCGATGAAGATCCTAATGAAGTGGCAGATGCATTAAACCAAGATGGTCAATTCCAGAATGCAACACCGACGGAAGACGAAGCTCACACTACTTTCCTTAGCAATCTAGCTCTTTATAACACCACTGAACCTAAGCTGCGGTCTAGACTACCGAGGCTGATATACAAGCCAAGTACTGCCACAATTATATCCAAAGTGAATGAAGTATTTTCCCTGCATCTTCAGGACAACGGAAGCATTCATAGGATTGCAAATAGCTTATACCCTGCTGCTGTAAGTACCCTGCAGCTGCATAAACAGCAAGTCAAGATATCAGACAGGAAGAGTACAGAATATATAAAATGACATTATGTTCACCCTTGGCGAATAAGGTAAGAAAGAAAGATATTGATTATATACGCTGTTAGGCTGATATGATTAAGAAATACATGAATGTAAAGAAAGCATCCAAGCTTAATAAGAAAATTGCAGGGAGACTGAAGCAGCATGGCTTGAAGATAGATGATTCGGAAGCCAACCTGAAGCTGCAGCTAGACCACGATGACTTGAGGCAAAAGGCGAAAGCAAAGGGAGCAAGGCTCAGGAGATACAACGAAATGATGAAAAGAAAAGAACAAAACAAGCTGTTTGCAATAAATCGGAGAATGTTTTATAACTCCCTTCTTGAAGAAGGAATAAGCCCCACTTCGAAAGATGTAAACCGAGACAGTTTCTATAGATATTGGAGTAGCATATGGAGCACAAGTCATAAGTACAATGAGCAAGCGTCCTGGCTCACTACTATACAAGACTCCACAAAATCACTAACTGAAATGCCAGACGTTTCCATCACAACTGATAATGTCAAAGAGGCTAATCAACTGCAAAACCCCAGGTCTTTTTTTTTTTTTTTTTTATTTTATACTCCAACTACCACGAAGGCCTAAGGCCTAAGCACCCATTGGGTACCGTGGGGCTATGAGGGAACACGTGTGCATGCAACATGCACACATTCTGGCTCCGCCTACGAGAACCGCCGGGTGGTACCTCCGCGTTCGACAGTCAGAGACCATCTACCACCTACGGACAATCACAACATCCATGGCCAAGAGAAACATTTCTCCTGGGACGGGACTCGAACCCGCATAGCGCACGGCGGCTGATCAGGAGACCGAAGGGTCTACTACTGCGGCCACCGCTGCTGCCTAGATCTTGATAAGATTCAGAACTTCTGAATTAAGAAGCTGTATGTTCTACACGGGCCCTTGGGCACATGCTTTTCAAGACATATTAGCGATCCAAGTAGTCTCCCAAAATACTTTACCGAGGGTGTGACATATCTATTGTATAAGAAAGGAGACTGGCTCCAGCTAAGTAATACCGTCCCATAACCTGTTTACCGACGCTATTTTGAGTTCAAAAATTTATGAACACTGCGAGGCCAACCAAATATTTGCAGATGAACAGAATGAATGCATTAAGAAATCGAAAGGCTGTAAGGAACAGGTAACATTACATGTCAAAATACTCGTAGTTACCCAACTAGCATATGTAACATAGCTATTTTATCCCCAGAAGACCACTATAAGTATCGAGGTTTTCAACAAAGCCCAGGGTTCGATCACACCAACTTAAAAGCAATCGTAAAGCAAAAGTACATCAGCAGGATAACAAAGCTCCTCGACACCAAACTTAATTCAAAAAATCTTATAATGGCAATAAATGCTTGTGCTGTGCCAATGCTGTCATATAGCTTTGGCGTTATTAAATGGAGCTATACAGACCTAGCTGAAATCGATCGAGAAACTAGAAAATTACTCTCCAAATTTCGTATGCCACATCCAAAATCTGTCACCTAGAGCCCTCGGGGGAAGAGGATTGATAAATGTTGAGCGCCTTTGCAAAGAGTAAGTGTACAAGCTTCGTCGATACTTTTGCTACATCAACGGTCAAAACATTTGGAATATTCAGCTATGGACAGCAACATCACCCCCACTCCTGCCATTTCAGCCGCAGCTCCTGCTTTGAACTCTCAACAAGTAGACCTGGCGACCACGCTCAAGTCACTTTAAGAAATTATTACTCCTCTGATAAGCGGCGTTGCAAGCGATCTTTCCGCAGCCTATAGATGGCTAAGTATAATAGACAGTCTGCTTTGCAGACTCGCACAGCAACCCTTTGTTGCGTGAAGCAGTAGATCACACAGTCGAGGAGATACGCAAACATTCCAGGTCACGACTAGCACTATGAACAAAATTTAATTCATGCTTAGACCTTTAAAAATTATAGTTTTTAAAAACTAAAGACCCAGAATTCAGTTCAGGACAAGTCAAACAATTTATATAGTACAATGTAGCAGTTCTTAGATCTCTCACACCTCAAATATTTACATAAAACAATTCCTTTTCTTTCTCTTCTCGCTCCTACTTCCTTCCTTTCTTTCTCCCTCTCCCCTTTCCCCTACAACTTGTCTGGTTTCTGGACCACCGGACCTGATAGACTGACGACAGACACTGACAGTACAGTGACTATGACCTAAAGGCTAAGGTCCTCCGGACCGCCTTGAGAAGCAACGATGAGTAGTATCACCCCCATGAATTTGGGCAGAAATCATGAATCCCCAGATCGATCAATATCGACGTCGACTGACCTGCTCAACAGATGGAAAGAGGAAGCCCTTCACGGGAGATATCCTGTAACACTTGAAAAAGATGGAATAGATAAAAAGTCCACACTATCAATTTTTGTGAAAGGTTACCTACATCCGGAATCAGAGGGTTTTCTATGTGCTATTCAGGATAAGGTTATTCGAACTAGAAACTATGAACGCCATATACTAGGCCTGAATACACACGACGTATCTGGAAAATGCCATACGTGACAATAGAACACATCACCTCCAGCTGCAACATGTTGACCAATAGTGCTTACTGATCCCGGCATAATCAAGTAGCCAAAATAATACACTCCACGTTAGCTCAAAATTATAATCTCATTGAGTCAACCGCGCCATATTATAAATATACACCATTCCCAGTACTCGAGAATCAGTCGGCCCTATTGTACTGGGACAGGTCAATCATAATCGATAAAACAGTTGAATATAACCGGCCAGACATACTACTGATCGATAAAAATAAACGGAAAGCATACGTAATTGATATCGCAGTGGCACTCACAGCAAACATAATCAGAACCGAATACACCAAGGCTGAAAAGTACCAAAACCTTGCCATTGAAATCAAAAACATTTGGAAACTATCAGAGGTCTACATAATACCAGTAGCAGTGTCTGTGGAAGGGGCAGTCTCTGTAGAAATGCACTCTCACTTAGAGAAAATCAAAGTTCCAATGCATTTTATTGGATTGATGCAGAAAGCCGCAATATTGCAAACATGTCACATAGTTCGCAAGTCTTTCGCAATAGGCTGAGGTGAATTCCTCCCCTGTTGTGTACATACCCCGTGTGTAACGGTGAAAGATCAACCAAAAACGAATAATAATAATAATAAAAATGATAATAAACGTCCCTTTATTAAAGGACGAAGTTTGGCTTGAAGCTATTCTGCCACTTAACCCTTGAAAATTCAAAAATAATACAATAACGATTATGAATATGTAAAAGAATATACCTAAGTATGCCAATAGTAAATAATAAAATTTAGGTATACGTGTAAATGTACACAGAAAAGGAAGGAGTTTTGCGAAGTGAGTGGTCAAAGTATGTAGGTGAGTACTTTTCTAAAATAAATTGTTTAATTTGTTTTTTTAGTCATAAAGCGTTATCGCGTTTTATGTGAAGCACTTATGAAAGAATGATGTTTTGTGAAGAGGCATTGTGAGTATCTCTGTAAATCGTATGTCTCTTTTGTGAATTGAATTTCGAGGGATCAGCTTGTTCTTTAAAAACGAGGGAACCGAAGTAATCAAGAGCTTATGAGCGTAAGTTAATAAGTATAGCTCTCTCATCTTCAACCATCCCAAGTCTCTTGAGGAACCGCTTATGTGGTCATATTTTCTCAAATTATTTATTAGTCTGCAACAGGAATTTTGAATTTTTTGTAAACGTGAAAGCGATATTGTATCTAAAAATGGATTGTAAACTATATCACAATAAGCAATTTTGAACATAATTAATGGTTCGCATAAGATTTTTTCAATTTGATAGTCGAGAACTTGTTCAATTTGATATAATTGTCGGAGGATGTAAAGCAGCTTTTAGTAACTTTGTTCACATGAGGTATGAACTTGAGACACTCATCAAAAAGAATTCCCAGGTTTTTGACTGCTTCATTATTTTGGATAGTAGCACCATTTAACCTAACATTAAAGTTGTTTTTAACAATTTCCAAGAGGTCTAGGTGAAAAAATTATCACTTTTGATTTTGAAGAGTTTTGTTTGAGGTTATGATTTTATGCATGTGCACTAATTAATTTTATATCTTCACTAATTTCAAATTCAGCAATTTGATAGTTGCTGCTATGGAAGTGATCATCAGCAAAAAATTACAATGTTTGACAAATGTGTGCAAGTTGACGATATATGAATTAAATAATAATGGTCCGAGTACAGAACCTTGGGGTACTCCAGATGAAATGATACATGTGGGAGACACATCCGTATCGATAGTAACTCTTTGGGAGCGATTAGCTATCCATCATACGTATAGAGGAATCGGAAAAACCGTAAAATTTACATTTAGCAAGTAGTACACGATGATTTAGACTATCGAATGCCTTACTAAAATCACGAAGAGCTACTGTTACATATACTATAATATATCATGCTTATTACTTCTAAGATAATTTCAGCAATCCTACTTAGCAACATGGCTGTCATGATGGAAATTGTGAGTGAACATCGAGCTACAGCATATGCCCCCATCTTGGAGGATATGTTATATACTCAGTAACATTAGAAGTGTTGAAAAAATAATTTCAACATTTTTTTTTTGCTTGCTGTGGCAACAATGTCAACGTTTTATCTTAGTTTTTGTTTACCTTTGTTAAAATGTTATCTCTTATTTTTTGTGAAGAAAGCTTTTTCTGAGAGCTGAATAGTACAAACACTGTTAGTTACCGCCCTTTTATGTACTAGTGTTAAGTATATGAAAACGCCTGGAGCTCGAAGACGTCCAAATTATCACCATGTTAGCGACTTTGACAGGAGAAAAATTATTGCCTGTCGAGATTTTGGTTTATCCTATCGCGAAATTAGCCGCCGTGTTAATTATACTGCAATGACGGTAATGCGTGTGTCGTGTGTGGATAGAAGGGTGGTAAAGGAACACAAGGAAGCCGAACTGGTCCACCGAGGCGTACCACAGAGCGTCAAGATAGGTGCTTGAGACAACTAGCTCTACGAGACCGTTTTGCTTCTACGCGTCAAATCGCTGACTAATGGTTTGGAGAAGAATGTAGACCTGATTCTATGCGTACATGCTATCGCCGCATTCGAGCCTTTTAAATTTTTTCATACGTCCACGGTTCGTGCTTCCTCTGACTGCGAATCACTGTCATCAACGATTGAACTGGAGCAGAGAACGGCAACATTGGGACGAATCGCGATTCTGTCTAGGTACGCACGATGGTCGTAGAAGGGTAAGACGCCGCCGTGGAGAACGGCGTGATACTGGATTTGCTGTACACATGACTGTTAGAGTAATGGTTTGGGCGCTATTGCCTATAGTAGTCGATCACCCGTCCTTTTTGTTCAGGGCCATTTGAGTGCAGCGGTTTGTGTTGATGATGTACTACAAACCACTTTACTGCCATATCTAGAGTTCCGCCTACACGTCTTTTTTCAGCAGGACAACAGTCATTCCCATATTGCTCTTCGTATTACAAGCGCTTTTCAAGGAGCAGGCATGTTTTGCCGTGGCCACTCCGTTCACCAGATTTAAATCCCATCGAACATGTGTGAGATATAATGTGGAGGAGGCTATAC